GGGGGAGACAGATTTTCTTGCTGAAAGCATAAAATCTCCTAGCAACACACAGAGGCTTCCACAGGTTGTTCCCAAAGCAACAGCAATCCCCCAAACTCAACCCCACACCCACCAGAGAGAGAAGAGAGGGGAAGGGGAAGAAACAGACTCCACAATTTCAGTTGAACAACATTTAAATGCCCGCTGACTAACTCTGACAATTTGAGAAACTTTTCATACACACCTTTTTTGTCTACATATGAAACTGATTAGTAGTCTAATAAAGTTCACAAACCTATTAATTTCTCATGAATCATTAGTACAGTCACACAATGTTCAGTCACACTAGACAATACAACTGTTCCGCACACACAAAAAATAAAGAATAATTGAAAAAGATGGTTTAAATGTGAATTGATTTTATTTCAGTTTTCACAATGTTTTCTCAGAATCTGAGCAATACTGAGTCAAACCCATCTGTCTCAGGTCAGATACAATCGAAAGGTTTCCAGTCATACCTCAAATATTACAAAATGTGCAGCAGTGCTGTTTTAGCATCAATGAGAAACTATTTCAGTTTTTATTAATTCATTTTATATTTATATTTTCTGCTTTTATTTCAATTTTTGTATTTCTGTGTAATTTTGTCCTTATATATATATATATATATGTCTAGTTTTATTATTTTCTCAGTTTTAGTTTTACATTTACATTTAGTCATTTAGCAGACTAAAGTTTTAGTTTTAGTTGTTTTATATCATTAAGTTCAAATGAAAATGAGAAATGTTTCCATGGGAACTAGTTGAATTACAATAAGTTTTTTTAGATTTTATTTTATTTCAGCTAACATTCATTTTAGATTAAAAAAAATGTGTTTTTGTTTTTTTGTAATGGTTTTAGTTTTAGCTAACTATAATAACCCTGACATGCAGATGTGATTTTACTGTACTAAGTGATGTACTGTATGTAACAGCATGATAAAGTTACCAGATAAAGTTAAACACGTGTTTTTAACCAATTTGGTATAAGTTTGGCTCTTTATTCATGTTTATGACTCGACGGGACGCAGTTGCTATGCTCCAGTTCAGAGCTGCAACAGAGAGCAGGACCAACAGCATATTTATGCACTGCTGTCTGCTTGAATGTCACCTAGAACATTATTATGCTTGACTTACATGCTCAAACAACAACAAAAAAAGGAGCGAGAGAGAGAGAAGTAGTGTAGGTTTATCTGTGCATAAGTCAGACTGTAGGTGTGGTGCTTATTCATGGGAGAGATATAGCAAACATTTGCCATTGAAGGATTGTGCAACAACAATGAACCGATGAGTGACAAAAAACCTCAACAAGTGAGTAGAATATCAATCAACTTAACTAACGTCACACAGCTTAACGTGAGTCCCCAGAAACATGTCAATTATTTAAACTTTGCTTGAGCATCATTCATCTCAGTTATAATCAGACATAAGTACTGATCTATTATCATCTCAACTGGACAAAAAAAAATCACATACAAAACTCTTATACAAAAATTGATACAAACTAAAATACACCACTCATATAACACAATGCATCTTCTATTCTTTGCATGTGTAAAATCTCGACTTTAACAGGTAGCAACTTTCTTCAGATATCATCATTTGAGAAGCAGAATATGGTACAATATCAGATATTGCATACTGACATTGTATATTTAGTTGTGCATGCTTATTTCCGGCTTTTACATTTAGATTACCTTTGCCGTCATCTAATGCTCACTTAAAGTTAATCATTAAAAACTAATCAAATTAATAACACTGTTAAATGTAATCTGTACCCAAATCTCAAAATGAATTTGAATTGTTCATGCTGTAGATTATACTGTTATAATGCCTAAATCCAAAATACTGATTTTAGTTGTTATTAATTGTTAGTGTTTCTTTTTACTTTACTTAGACAAAATAGAATATAACTACCAGCTACCATTTATAAGTTATCAGCCATAACACAAAGAGAATTATCATCTTATTAGCATCATATCACTTCTTTAAAATACAATTTTTTTTTTACAGAAAATGTAAAATAACATTATTTCACTATAATAATGTTTAAATAAATATAATAATAATATAATATTTAAATAAACATGTGTGTGTACAAACACCATAAAATACTATGAAAGGTCATACTGGCAGGTGATAAAGTGTTTCAGTTTGCTACAGGGAGTTTAATAAAGCACCATCTGTATGTGGATGAACATGTTTGATAAACTGGATTTCAGTTGTAGTACTGAGTCGTAGGAAATGTTGTAAACACATTCCTATTACTAATTTTATGCCTACCCTGAATCCAACCTGGCCAGACGGACGAAAATTCAAGAACCTTTGACGATATGATGGGTGACAGGTGGCCTTTCCACACCTTTCGTTTTCTTTCTCTTTCTCTATCTTGCTCTCTCTCACACACATTTTGTTTGAACATGCAAACAATACATCATTTCAGGGTACTATCTTAGGTAAGCTCATGGGAGAAACAGAGAAGAAGGAGAGTGTTCGTTTTGACATGCTGCACTGAACTGCAGAGGGATTACAACACTCAGATTGGAGTATTGATCCACTGCAGCTGCTCTTGCATGGAGGATGAAGAGAGAGAAAGAGAGACAGACAGACAGACACAAAGCTATCTGATTTCTTGTTTTTCCACTTTACACAAAATAACTGCATGGCTGATTCTTCAACTTAAATATAATAATAATATAATATTTAAATAAACATGTGTGTGTACAAACACCATAAAATACTATGAAAGGTCATACTGGCAGGTGATAAAGTGTTTCAGTTTGCTACAGGGAGTTTAATAAAGCACCATCTGTATGTGGATGAACATGTTTGATAAACTGGATTTCAGTTGTAGTACTGAGTCGTAGGAAATGTTGTAAACACATTCCTATTACTAATTTTATGCCTACCCTGAATCCAACCTGGCCAGACGGACGAAAATTCAAGAACCTTTGACGATATGATGGGTGACAGGTGGCCTTTCCACACCTTTCGTTTTCTTTCTCTTTCTCTATCTTGCTCTCTCTCACACACATTTTGTTTGAACATGCAAACAATACATCATTTCAGGGTACTATCTTAGGTAAGCTCATGGGAGAAACAGAGAAGAAGGAGAGTGTTCGTTTTGACATGCTGCACTGAACTGCAGAGGGATTACAACACTCAGATTGGAGTATTGATCCACTGCAGCTGCTCTTGCATGGAGGATGAAGAGAGAGAAAGAGAGACAGACAGACAGACAGACACAAAGCTATCTGATTTCTTGTTTTTCCACTTTACACAAAATAACTGCATGGCTGATTCTTCAACTTATAGTACTTTTGGCCATGTGAACGAAGAAACTAAACTTTTAAACATTTTTCACACTCTCAACAGTTCCTTAAAATTGTCTAATAACAATGTTACGTGTGTATTTACATACATAAGAAGGGAATTATATAGTTTTTTTCTTAAAGTCATGAACATTTCAACCACAGCACCATCTGACATGATGAAAATGACGTGATGGAAATGACATTTTAAACATTGTTGGATGGCTGACTATTTGGTCTGGCTAAGGCTAACTTCATAGTACTTTATGCAGCCCAATTACACACAATTAAATATCTATCTATCTATCTATACACACACACACGCATTTTGTATTAAATATAATCCTATTTCATACTTTCGTTGCATAATTTTCTTTATTATGTTCTTCTCCTTTGGTAAATATGTATAATAACTTCTGGGAAAAAAATTGTTGATCATGATGGAAACTACGCCACATCTGAGAGACAGTCGTTATTGGTTATTGGTTAATATAAATGGCATTCATTTTTTTAATGTGTGTATTTTGCTCATTGTTTAGGGTATATTAGATTTAAAATGTAATAATGAATATTTTAGGGTGATTTTTATATTTCAAGACTGAAAGTCTGGGTCTGGGACAATAGTAAAACAATAAAATGCATTTATGAATACGTTGCAAAAATAAATGGTATGGCCAAAGTTCCACACTTGTGGAACTTCACATTCACAAAGAAAATGTCATAAAAAGAAAACATTTAAAATCTTTTCATTCTAGATAATAATAATAATAATAAAATCAATCCAAGGCACATAAAAGTTCCTGATACTGAAGGAACACCCATATCTAAATGGGGTTTATTTAATCTGCACTCATTCAGAATTTTTAATCATTCGTGTTTGTCCAAATCTCAGAACACCGTGAATTACTATCTACTGTCAGATCTGTTGCCACTGGAGTGCAGCCCACACAGACAGAAATACGCACTAAACACCAAGACCTCATTCTTCAGATATGCAGAAGAACTGCATCAATGGGCTGCTTATCACACACAATCAAACAACACACATCAAAGTGCTCTGATAATACAGACACACAATTGGAATCCGTAGAAGTCGTAAATATGGAAAATATAAGTAAATCACTTTCTTCAACGTAATTCTTTCATGTCCTCACACACAAACACACACGATTCTTTCAGAACCTCATTTGCAGGGCAAACACCACACACACACACACACACACACACACAGTGTGGCGTTTCCACACAGACACGCAGATTAGATCATTATGATGGTAGACTGAGAACTGTCAGACAGGTAGATAAGGAGCAAATCACACGGATGCACACACGCTTTATGACTCATGTTTCAGTGAGTTTTCATTGCTCCGGAAACACACACAGCCCCGCAGAGAAGACCTCCCACAAAGCAGACAGAGCCAGGACTACACAACAAGACCCAACAAACAAACCACACAACAGCGTCAACACAGCGCCTAAGCAACACCGGGGGACACGCTGCCTGTCATTTCAATACCTTTAAACTACTTGTTGACTTCCCTACTAATCCCAAAGAAACTTTCACTCAACATGAGAAAAAATGATTATGTAAAAAGAAATAATAACATGTTAAAGGAGCTTTAATGATCAGAATAATACTTTATTACAGAAAAAGATGTCTGAAAATGTGCAGTGTATGGCATAAATAAATAAAAAGAAATGAAATCACATCTAAGGACTGAAAAGTGAAATTACAAACATTTCATGAGACATTTAATGATTCACAACCTCTTTTCCGGGAGTGCACACACATTCTGAAGTGTAAATCCAAGAAAGCAAAACGGTATCTGACCAAGTGACAGAAAGAAAGAGAAAAATAGTGAACAACATGTATTTACAGGGATATAGTAACAGAATCTGCATGGACAGTAGAAGTTCAACAGTACACAATAATGTAAAGAGTAAAAAAAATGCTCTTCTGTCACCTAGTGGGGCTTTATTGCAACATTCACAAGCTCGCTTGAGCTAAATAACTACTGCCACACAGAGGCGGACTTGTAAATTGGCCTTGTGACGTTCATTTCCCCTTATTTAAACAAAATGATAAATACATCCTATTTGTACAGCATTTATCCAAGAAAATAAATACAGTTTGATTAGTACATTCCACGTCAGCCAAATATTCCGTTTTCTTTAGCTGAATTACCCCAATATGTATTTGATATCAGTACGAAAGTGCTAATTTAAGAAAAAATGTGTAAGTTAAATTAGCAAGAAGTATGTGTTTGTAGTTACATTTTAAAATCTGGAAATAATCAAGCAATTACTGACTATTTATCTGATTTTCACCACAAAAGGGTTGAAAATTTCACTTCTGAATCCTCGCACTGAGTGAACCTCAATAGTCCAAACAACGGAAACCCTTTATCAAGCAGAGTTTATTTCACCTCTTTTATTCAGCCTTGTCTTTCTCCTCTTGTCCTTCTTTCTGGCTGTTTGTCACGCATTTATTCCAGTACATCAGGACCTGTGCTAGTATTACCCCACTGCAACAGCAGGCCACAACATACATCTGAGTTAAGAGAGAAAGGCCTGTGTCCTACAATAAGAGAGAGATTATATATGAAAAGAGAAAAGTAAAATGTAATGGGAAATATTAACACATCTGATTAACACAGTCAAATCTTACAAATGTCTATCAAACATTTCCATTGTTACTGCCCCCCAAAAAAGTCACAGTTCATTAAACATTGACCTTTGGTGACAACATACCCCAATAACAGAGCATGTCATGACACAATGGGGTAAGCTTTTAAGAACAATTAAACAGCTTATTTACTATTTTTTGCTTTTAAAGTTTCAATGTAACAGAAGTAGAAACAGACCTATTCTTCAATGTTGTAATGTATGTCCAAGTGAAACAGAAAAATGTAGGGCAGGATACTTTGTAGTTAATTCTATACGTCGGTTGAATGATTGGAGAAGAATTATGATATTTTAATAAAAAATTACAGAGGTCAAAAAGAAAGAAAGAAATAGAAATTTATGCACAAATTATTTGAGTTTCAGACTTGGACTTTGATAAATCCAACATACAAAATCACTGCTAGGGAAAGTGATCATTTATCTAATAGTACATTGACATTTGAATAGTACAACCAACCCTGGTCTCTCTTGCATGAGTGTACTTTCTGCCCTGAATGTGTGTGATAATGTGTTTGTGTACCTACAGTACTTACTGGGGACAAATTTGTAAGCAGAAGTGAGCTAAATCTGACAAAATCTCCCATAACCTTCTTTTAAGAAATGTCCCCGTTTGTAAAAACAGCATAATCATAAAGTAAATAAGTTTTTAGTTTTTATTTGTTTGTTTTTTGGTAAAAAAGCAGAATGTTTTCTGTTAGGGTTAGGTTACAGTATTTATAACTAGCTTTATTTAAAAAAAAAAAAAACAGAAGTCTATGCAACGTCCCCCTTAAGTTAAGTAACCATGTGTGCACCTGCAGGGAACTGAAGATGCGTCCCAGAGAGCCAAGAAAGTTCAGGAAAACAGAGAGCGCAGACAACTGTCCTGTGTGTCCCCATCTGAAGTTACTTCCTGCCTGGAAAAACTAAACACAACATAAAATACAAAAAAGTATTTTTGGTTTGTTTTTGTAAAGACAACGTACAGACACACATTCTCATCTCTATACATATTTTGGTTTCAAGACTGAAAGTCTGGGTCTGGGACAATAGTAAAACAATAAAATGCATTTATGAATACGTTGCAAAAATAAATGGTATGGCCAAAGTTCCACACTTGTGGAACTTCACATTCACAAAGAAAATGTCATAAAAAGAAAACATTTAAAATCTTTTCATTCTAGATAATAATAATAATAATAAAATCAATCCAAGGCACATAAAAGTTCCTGATACTGAAGGAACACCCATATCTAAATGGGGTTTATTTAATCTGCACTCATTCAGAATTTTTAATCATTCGTGTTTGTCCAAATCTCAGAACACCGTGAATTACTATCTACTGTCAGATCTGTTGCCACTGGAGTGCAGCCCACACAGACAGAAATACGCACTAAACACCAAGACCTCATTCTTCAGATATGCAGAAGAACTGCATCAATGGGCTGCTTATCACACACAATCAAACAACACACATCAAAGTGCTCTGATAATACAGACACACAATTGGAATCCGTAGAAGTCGTAAATATGGAAAATATAAGTAAATCACTTTCTTCAACGTAATTCTTTCATGTCCTCACACACAAACACACACGATTCTTTCAGAACCTCATTTGCAGGGCAAACACCACACACACACACACACACACACACACAGTGTGGCGTTTCCACACAGACACGCAGATTAGATCATTATGATGGTAGACTGAGAACTGTCAGACAGGTAGATAAGGAGCAAATCACACGGATGCACACACGCTTTATGACTCATGTTTCAGTGAGTTTTCATTGCTCCGGAAACACACACAGCCCCGCAGAGAAGACCTCCCACAAAGCAGACAGAGCCAGGACTACACAACAAGACCCAACAAACAAACCACACAACAGCGTCAACACAGCGCCTAAGCAACACCGGGGGACACGCTGCCTGTCATTTCAATACCTTTAAACTACTTGTTGACTTCCCTACTAATCCCAAAGAAACTTTCACTCAACATGAGAAAAAATGATTATGTAAAAAGAAATAATAACATGTTAAAGGAGCTTTAATGATCAGAATAATACTTTATTACAGAAAAAGATGTCTGAAAATGTGCAGTGTATGGCATAAATAAATAAAAAGAAATGAAATCACATCTAAGGACTGAAAAGTGAAATTACAAACATTTCATGAGACATTTAATGATTCACAACCTCTTTTCCGGGAGTGCACACACATTCTGAAGTGTAAATCCAAGAAAGCAAAACGGTATCTGACCAAGTGACAGAAAGAAAGAGAAAAATAGTGAACAACATGTATTTACAGTGATATAGTAACAGAATCTGCATGGACAGTAGAAGTTCAACAGTACACAATAATGTAAAGAGTAAAAAAAATGCTCTTCTGTCACCTAGTGGGGCTTTATTGCAACATTCACAAGCTCGCTTGAGCTAAATAACTACTGCCACACAGAGGCGGACTTGTAAATTGGCCTTGTGACGTTCATTTCCCCTTATTTAAACAAAATGATAAATACATCCTATTTGTACAGCATTTATCCAAGAAAATAAATACAGTTTGATTAGTACATTCCACGTCAGCCAAATATTCCGTTTTCTTTAGCTGAATTACCCCAATATGTATTTGATATCAGTACGAAAGTGCTAATTTAAGAAAAAATGTGTAAGTTAAATTAGCAAGAAGTATGTGTTTGTAGTTACATTTTAAAATCTGGAAATAATCAAGCAATTACTGACTATTTATCTGATTTTCACCACAAAAGGGTTGAAAATTTCACTTCTGAATCCTCGCACTGAGTGAACCTCAATAGTCCAAACAACGGAAACCCTTTATCAAGCAGAGTTTATTTCACCTCTTTTATTCAGCCTTGTCTTTCTCCTCTTGTCCTTCTTTCTGGCTGTTTGTCACGCATTTATTCCAGTACATCAGGACCTGTGCTAGTATTACCCCACTGCAACAGCAGGCCACAACATACATCTGAGTTAAGAGAGAAAGGCCTGTGTCCTACAATAAGAGAGAGATTTTATATGAAAAGAGAAAAGTAAAATGTAATGGGAAATATTAACACATCTGATTAACACAGTCAAATCTTACAAATGTCTATCAAACATTTCCATTGTTACTGCCCCCCAAAAAAGTCACAGTTCATTAAACATTGACCTTTGGTGACAACATACCCCAATAACAGAGCATGTCATGACACAATGGGGTAAGCTTTTAAGAACAATTAAACAGCTTATTTACTATTTTTTGCTTTTAAAGTTTCAATGTAACAGAAGTAGAAACAGACCTATTCTTCAATGTTGTAATGTATGTCCAAGTGAAACAGAAAAATGTAGGGCAGGATACTTTGTAGTTAATTCTATACGTCGGTTGAATGATTGGAGAAGAATTATGATATTTTAATAAAAAATTACAGAGGTCAAAAAGAAAGAAAGAAATAGAAATTTATGCACAAATTATTTGAGTTTCAGACTTGGACTTTGATAAATCCAACATACAAAATCACTGCTAGGGAAAGTGATCATTTATCTAATAGTACATTGACATTTGAATAGTACAACCAACCCTGGTCTCTCTTGCATGAGTGTACTTTCTGCCCTGAATGTGTGTGATAATGTGTTTGTGTACCTACAGTACTTACTGGGGACAAATTTGTAAGCAGAAGTGAGCTAAATCTGACAAAATCTCCCATAACCTTCTTTTAAGAAATGTCCCCGTTTGTAAAAACAGCATAATCATAAAGTAAATAAGTTTTTAGTTTTTATTTGTTTGTTTTTTGGTAAAAAAGCAGAATGTTTTCTGTTAGGGTTAGGTTACAGTATTTATAACTAGCTTTATTTAAAAAAAAAAAAAACAGAAGTCTATGCAACGTCCCCCTTAAGTTAAGTAACCATGTGTGCACCTGCAGGGAACTGAAGATGCGTCCCAGAGAGCCAAGAAAGTTCAGGAAAACAGAGAGCGCAGACAACTGTCCTGTGTGTCCCCATCTGAAGTTACTTCCTGCCTGGAAAAACTAAACACAACATAAAATACAAAAAAGTATTTTTGGTTTGTTTTTGTAAAGACAACGTACAGACACACATTCTCATCTCTATACATATTTTGGGGGGGGGGGGGGGGGGGGGGGTACAAAGTCCTGACTCACCCTGCCAGCAATAACCAACAGCACATTCCACTCATACAGGGTCCAAACCACTGACACAGGAGTCAAAGGTGAGGCCAGGAGGAACATAAAGCCACAGTATACAGCAAGAAAATATAAACCTGCATGAAAAACCCCAATCAAACATTCAAATAAGAACACTTAGAAGATTATGAAAAGGACCTTTTTGTCATACAGTTTAAGCCTCTCTTTTTTCTCTTTTTCTAACCTTTTATGGGTTTCCCTCGGTAGTGCTGGACAAGCAAAGTCAGGACAGCAATCTGGATCAATGCAAACAAAATTTCCCCCCAGGCACTGCACACACATACACATACACACACACACACACACACACACACAAATTCATGACTTAGCATATTCATCTACAGTATATATAAGCTTTTAGCATTAATGCAAACACTGTTTTACCCAATGGGAAAGTTCTGAGTGTAGCAGAAAGCTGCATGTGTAGAGATGGCCAACAGCTCCAGAAAAATCGAGGTCAGACACAGTCCATTAGAACTTCCAGACCAAAGAACTTTCCAGATCTGAGGGAGTGGAGCTGTGGGAAGAAGTAGATTCACACATACTATGAAACACAGTCTCACAAGATATAAAACAGAGAAAATGTAAAGTAATAGCTTAAACTTGGGAGGATATGAAATATGATGTAAAATAGACTACTTACCAATAACAATTCCCACCAAAATCAATATTCCCATAGTCTTACGTAAAACAATCTTCAGACAGGGTACTAGAGAACAATACAGAATAAATAGTAAAGAAATATTCTGTTATGTCGGCAAGTGCACTGGATAATAACAGTCAGTTGTGACTAACATTAAACATCAATGCAACCAGTCATCTGTGTGGTAAATGTAATGTGTTAAATCAATGTTAAATGCTAACAGTAAAAGTTTACCCATTGTAAAATTAAATAGTTTTGGAGGCAATACATTCGCTGATATTCTCATACGTTTATTCGAGATAAAGCTGTCTCTCACCGTGCATAAAGTTGAAGTAGAAGAAAAACTGGTCATAGCATTTTTCTGGCATGAAGAAAGTTAGTAAAAATTCTTTCAAAGGACGCATTGTTCCTTCATCAGACGTGTCCATAGTTCATGTAACGTTATTCCTGTCGCTGGTCGTGCTATCGTGGACCTAGGCAAATCTTCAGCACGGAAAATAATGTCAGTTACATTTATTGCTTGACACCATTAAAGAACCATTCACATGATTAAATTAACTAGCCATCCGAAATTAAATACGTGACTTTTGGTGGTCTTTTTTCCTTACGTATAAGCAAAACTTTTTTGAATGTTTTAAAGACCTGTCATAACATGTCTTATTTTGTCAAGTCCACCAAAACTGTCTCTAGTTGGACAGCAAAGCAAGCCTCACCAATGATGTTGAAGTTTTAGAGGGGCGTCTCTGGGTTTAGTCCTTTACAGTCTATGGTTTAGTCACTGCTGCAACAGCTGTCTCATGATGTTTTCACCGCTGCCGAAATGAGAGCCCCATTTTTCCTGAAAGTGTTTAACTAACTGCAATCAACGCCTTTTCTGTTTTCACAAATTAGACGTTTTTGTATTTACGCAAATAACGCACATTTTTTGGCATCAGTATGCCGAAAAAAGTGGGAAATATTTTCCTACAGGGGGCGCTCGAGGCTCATTCAGCCATTTATCTTTTTTTTATATATATACAGTTCGAATAGTTGATCTTTCAGATGGATTTCTTTGACTGTGATTCTGTCATTTTTGTCATTATATTTTATTCAATTTGAGAGTATTAAATTGATTAGATGCATTTTAAATGCAGTATAAAACAGTGAAATAATATGCATTTAAAATAAGAATGAATGATACTTTAAAAAAACAATTGGTATTAAATGTATTTGATACATTCTGTAAAAAAAATACATGACTGGTCCATGGTAAGAGGTCATGTTACCCTACGGTGGCTCCTTTACATTATTTTCAGTTTTTCACCATACTATAATTACAGCTATATTAGCAAAAGTTTCTATTTATTCCCCTAAACACTCAGTGAAGCATTATTTTACCTAAAATGTTAAACTCATATTTCAGTATGTTTCAATTTATCAGTAAAAGTACACTGTCTGTGGATTTCACATGTGCATGTTTGGCTTGTGTTGCCTATCATATGAACCTCTTAAGTTGTACAAATACAACATTCATTATTGGGTGTAAGCATATTAACCATTGGAGAGCAAGCAATAGAATATGAAAATTAATAAAGTCTCTTTCCAACCAACTTTGCTCTGTAGTTCAACCTGTGCTGTTATTGGACCATTTTTCACAACCATGGGGAGAACTCAAGACACAAAGAAGTACATTCAGAGTCTTCAAAAAGTAATGATAGTTTCATCCAGCTTATATATCGAAAAAGAGGAAGCAAAAAGAAGTATACGTCTTAAAAAGAGACAGTTTAGACAGTTCTAAAAAATAACAGTTACCAACCATTCATGCTTTGCACAGACACAAGATACACTTTCGCATGTTCACAAGACTATTTTGCTTAAATAGAAAGTGCATTTAGAATTGTTTTTACTTTCTAAACAGGCAACAACACAAAGTTAATTTTGAGGGGAAACTGAGTGCTAATCTGATTTGTGTGAATTGTGACCCCAATGGAAACATTTCATTTGACAAACACATTTTTTGTCCAAGGCTTGGCTGATAGGGTGTGTCAGTCGGAATGTTTTAGTATGCTGGGATTAGGGGTTATAGGCAGACAGGAAAAGCCTTTAAAGGAGACGTGTTCTTGCAGTGTTTCCATAAACCATGACTGCACCTCTCCTCAAACATAAACTCCGCTGAACATCAAAAACTAATTCATACTGTGTGACAAACAGAATCTGTTTACTATCACTCATTGCAAATTTGTTTAACTCCTTTAATGGAAATCTTAACACAAAAACATGGGAACTTTCTTGAATTAAATAAAACAGGTTTACCACAGCAGAATCATTATATGTTAATAAATAAATAGGCTGGACAGCAATGTCCTCTTTTATACTGGCAAAGGAAATAGCAAATCGTTTTTTAGATAAAGCTATTTGCTTTGCAGTGTCACCGTCATGGTTTTTTTCTCTTACTACAGAGACAGTCCAAAGTCCCGCGGTACATTTTCTTTATAGCACCCTGTGCAAACATAATTTAGTGAAGTGAATACAACACACACACACACCTCTCCACAGTTCATTTATTTTGTGTCAGATCTGACACATGCTGCAACTGAATGATTAAAAATGTACTGTTTACGAGTGTTATGGCAACCAGAGTGACAGATCCCTACAAAAATGAAATTTAATGCATAGAAACATAAATTTGTATATATGGGTTATAAGCTGTAGTTTTTAATGCTTGATGATGGTTATTTTAATTTAAAAGTCTTGTTTTGTTTATTAAAATAGCCTGTGTGAATTCCAGAGACTTCTGGGTTAAAAGGTTTATATGTACAAACAGTTGAAAAGGTTAACACTGTACATCACAAACACCTAAGAAACAAGAGTTAAGAAAACAATTACATTTTATATTGTATGGTTTAGATATAGATTCTCTGGACAGGGTGTGTTTAGAGGAACTGGATTCTATGGGCTGGTCTTATCTTAACTCAATAATAAATGACTAGCAGTGCTTATATAAACCTCTGCACTCTGGCAGACAGACAACTTCAGGCTGTGTGTGAGACTCAGAGACGATAACCAAACTTGTTGTCAAGTTCTTTTTATCTTGGAGCTTTTTACATAAAATAGTGTAGAGATTACAGCTGTTCCCTGACTTCAGGATTATAATACCCATCTTGCAGCATGTGTACGGGAAAATGTGCGCTTTGCGTCGGGACAGGTCTGTACCCGTTGGCAGTCATATCCATAATATGTAATATTATTCTGTTTTTTCCTGGCTGGGATGTAAAGTACGCACAGAATGGACAAATTACTGAGGAGGTCAAATACATGGGAGGACTGATTGGAGGGGGGATTCTGGTAAGTCTGGTTTTGTTTAATTGCAATGTTGAACTATATAAAAATTATAATTTTATTTAGGCATCATAGCGAGTAGCCAATATGATGATTCTAGGTTTAGTTTGGGCTTCACAGTAAATGTACAAAACACATTTATTGTGTGTTAGAGTCAATCAAAACTCTATCAAAATGACAAAGTGATGAAAATCTAAAATAATTCTCTCTCGCTCTCCTCCAGGTGCTGATTCCAGCGTTTCACATTCACCTGACTGGAAAGCAGGGTTGTTGTGCTAATCGCTGTGGGGTGAGTTTGCACTTTATTTTTAGTCTGAAGTTTATAAATATCCTTTAGAAATTCAGTTATGAAGAGGATTGTCCACAGGACCTTTACAAGCCCAGGAAAAGTGATGCATTTGTCACCTTTACTGTTTAGGGATAAAAATAAAAAAAAGCTTCCATTTTCAGAGAGTTCAGAAATGGAAGCGCAAGTGCAGAGATTTTACTTTAAGCAAACTGAAAAAAAATCAAATGTATGTGCATGCTCAAAAGTTGACAAATGACAACACAAACAAAAGAAGATTATAAACAAAACGACTGATTGACAAATGAAAAATAGGTGTTAAGACAAAAAAAGGACAGGAAATAGCAATGAACCCCAAATACCTTCTAAAGTAAAGTAACGTTACAAAGAGCAAGAAAATCATAACTGAACACACACAAGCCTTATATAACTTGCTTGACCAGTGTCTGTGCTATGAGCGGGCTCAGAGGGGCCTGGCCCGGCCCGGCCATTTCAGTCCCACGTTACCGATATGTGTTTCTAGATCTGTTGTGAGATCAATATTGTGTTGACAAATATTTTGTAAAGATGCATAAGGAAGAACTTTTGTAGTGGACTGAATCTTCTCTTAACACAAAGACAAATAAATGTATTTAGAATGTAACTGAGTACATGTGATGTGAAGAACATGTCATGTGCCTGTTAGCGTGAAGCACAGACTTGTCTGAAAATACACAGGGTTCCTCTGTTTTCAAAAAATCTATAGCGTCTGACATGTGGCTTGAAAAATGTGCCCTCATTGCAAATATTTGCAGTTTGTGACTTGTAAGAACCTAAACAGTTGTACAGGAATCACTGGATGACAACCTCACTGAATGGTGACAGAATTGTAGGAGTTAATTTTTCGGCCATGTTGTTGTTGTGTGATTGGGAAATTGTTCTTAAGATGTCTTCAAAATGAACATGTGGAAAATTTAGACACAATAATTCATAAAGATTGCATGACTGAATTAATTTCTTGTATATTTGTATTACGTTTATAAATTAAATCATTCTGATGAAGGATTTTCTATTTCAGATGTTCCTGTCCATTTTATTTGCAGCAGTGGGTGTAGTTGGTGCCCTTTATAGTTTCGTAGTGGCGCTGATGGGTCTAATCAATGGGCCATACTGTAAATATTACCTTCTTGTTTGGGGGACTCCCTTCAAAGACAAGTAAGAGACACACCATAGCATTCTCATGGTTATTATCACCCTGTTGGACATATGACAGGATTTCCGCGGGTCCTTAAGTCTTAAATTTAGTTGTATCAAATTTAAGGCCATAAAAACTCTTAAAGGGGTCATATGATGCTGCTAAAAAGGACATTATTTTGTATATTCGGTGTAATGAAATGTGTTTATGCAGTTTAAGGTTAAAAAAACACATTATTTTCGGTTGCCTCTGTGGAACCTGCAAAGCGAAAGGGGTGAGACACTAGTTGAAAAACAAGGAGAGTGGTGAATGAGGCATACAAGGAGAGTTCTAATACGTCAGTGTAAACATTTTTTTTGAAAAATACTCCAAAACATGTTAAAAACAACCTACCAAGCCATAATACGAACACTGCAGCAATTTCACAGTAACATTAATAGTGAGGACCTCTGAGGTCATTTTCACTATACATAAATGAGATGCAAATTTAGTACTAAATAAAATTCTGATGGGTAAATTCTTAACTTTTTACCTACAAGAGGTATGTGTCTTTCTCCTTATACTATCTCTGTCGTTATCGACTGAGTAAAGTGAATGACCAACTATATGTAAAACAAAGAGTTAATTGATTACAGACTGATTTTAATGTTTGTCCTTGTCCTCCTAATGACTGACTCAGGTACGCCATTTCAATAAAAACACACCAGAAAATACCAGAACAATCAATAAATGAGAAACAAAGTATGCTGTTATCATTTAGTCATTTTAAAGATAACGTGTAGAAACTGTAACTGTTTGCATACCTATGTCATCCTTGCCACAGTGCATGTACTCAGCAAAGAGAGAGCGACAGAGCTCGTATGCTCCAAAGAAACAGAAATATCCAGGCACCTCACGGGCAACTGTAGTGGTTAAACCCTGGAAGAACCCTGCAGGACCATCATTATGCATAATGGACTTGATCACTGACCAAACTGTGCTGAAAAACACAGACATACGTAAGGAGAAAGGAGGTAACTCATATCATGAGTAACACTAGCACTTAAAAGTAAATAAAAATGTGCGCAGTATCCACAGAAAGGATGGCTCAAGCTTTACTTCTGACTGTGGGCGATCTTGCCAGATGTGGCCATCTCATGCATAGCTTGCAGTCGGCACTTCACCAGCTCAGTGGGACATAAGACCAGAGAGGAGAAAACTGAGGCCACGGAGCCTGCGCACGCTTTCTGCATGTCACTGAACAGAAATAAACAATCACACACATTGAAAATAAGCGTTAATATAAGCAAAAATTAATGAAATTGTGATAATGATATGTATATACACATTACTGTGCCAAAAGTTTATGGTATGACTTTTTTTTTTAAAGAAATTAATACAAGGATACAAATTAATACAGATCAAATCAACAAATACACAAAGTTATCAAAAGTGATAAAGTGATTTATAATGTTACAAAAGATTTAAAAAATAAATGCTGTTCTTTTGAACTTTCTATTCATTCACTTTCAAAATGTATCGCAGTTTCCACAAAAATATTATGTGACACTGAAGACTGGAGTAATGGTTTCTGAAATTTCAGCTTTGCCATCACAAGAATAAATTACATTTTAAAATATATTCAAATAGAAAAGAGTTATTTTAAATTGTAATAATATTTCACATTATTTCTGGTTTTACTGTATAATAATCAAATAAATGCATTCTCTATGATCTGATCAGAGAGAGAGAAAAAAAAAAGGAAAAAAAAAACGGTTTACCCCCAAATAAGTTTTGCAATATACACATTAAGGAAAAGTTATTCAAAAATGTCTACAAAATAAGTTTTTAACATTTAAACTAATATCTGAAGTCATTTTGGAAAAATAATCATGTGAACATGTACATCCTAATGGAATAACTTTATTAGATTTATTATTAGAATTATTTAATTTCAATTCAAGAAAAACATAAGGCTACTTTAGAAGCAAAACCCTTCTGTCATGCATTTGTTTTGGAGCTTCCAGAAAATACTAGATACTATTCAAACAGTAGAGCATGGTGCTAGAAACTCCAAGGTCATGGCTTTGATTTCCAGGGAATGCATGAATGCATAAATTGTATACCTTTAATGCAATGTAAGTCGCTTTGAATAAAACCACCTGCCAAAATGCATAAATGTAAATGTACTATTCATAATACAAACTGAACTTGCCTGAGCACAGCCCCTTTCTCCTGACCAGAGACGAAGCGAACCACCTCTTGGCAAAAGCCATAGCACATGAAGAGCACAGAGTTCTCCGCAATGTTGGCCATGAGGGCCGGTGTGGTACCTTGATACAGCCCTCGAAGGCCCACCTGTCTGTATGTAGACACAAAGCAGTGCACAAAGCCTCTGTATAAAGTGGGGAATGTCTGCATTTTCACCTTAGCCGTGTCCAAAGGTTGACCACTAAGTACACAAGCTGTGCCCCCTAAAGAGGAAAGAGAAGTGGGAGAACAGAGAGTGATGAGCTTTTTCTCTTGTTAATGAAACAAATGGAATGTAGGAGTGAAATCATTCCCCTTCAATCATCATTATACACATATATGTGTCTGTGTGTTGCCCTTTCTTTAGTTACAAACTTTAATTGGCTTGTATTTTGGTATAATAACTTGGATATGGTTTGAAATAACAATAAAATAAAGTTCCAATAAAAATGTGTTTTAAGGGTTATGAAGCAATGATCTACAACTAATCCACAAACAGTATCACACACTACAAACGTCCTCACTCATCTATCAGTACGATCTAAGCCAGACAGAATAGGTCTGTCTGTCTCTGTCTCTGTCTGTGTCTGTGTGTGGGACTGCTGAGACAATGGGTCCGGACTGTGAAACCACAGGGGTAAGCAAAAACACACCGCTCAAAGGTCAGATAAGAACTGACAAAAGAAAGGATTTAATACAGATGGTGCTGAAATAAAGTGTATCCCACTCTATCATCATAGGGCCCAGGATAATGTTCCCGATAGTCCCCCAGAACGGCCCTGATGTTAGGTGAAGTTACCTATAGCCCCGGCAGAGAGGTCTATTATTGCCTGAACCACAGGATGTGGTGCCATGGTGAAATATGCCAAGCGCTCCAACAAAACCCTAAATCAAAGATCTGTGCAAAAGATGAGACAGAGAAAAGAAAATCAGTATACTTAAAACTTTGTTCATCATTGTAAGTTTATTTAGTTTTTTTAGAAAGTAAACCCCTACGTAATCCCAAACTTACAAAAAAATCATGCTTACCAAACCACAGACGGTCCTTAACACTCAGAATTTGAAGTATTGAAGTATAACTATAACGTTTGAAGTATAACTAATACGTTGTACATAACTGTGTAAAGTTACATAAGCAGACAGCATGGAGCTGAATCTCAAGTTTCATGTAGTAACAAAGTTCGCCGACTGGAGAAAGTCACAAGTCACAGATGTTGTTTTGAAAAACTCACACAAAGCCATGCTCTTCAACCACAGCGATTATTTTCGGTAGAAACGCCTTTCTGATGCAACAATTGTTTTTGCCATTATGTGGTTGTCTTTTATGTGATGCAAAATAAAGTAGCACCAAAAACTGCTGGTTACAGACGGACGTGTTTTTGCATCACCTGAACTGAACACTGAATAGCGAGACTGAACAGCTAAAAAAGTAACTGTGACAATTTAGATTTCTCAATAAGCATTCACCAAGCATGCTTACCTTTTTTTCACGAAAACGCTTACAACGAAAATATGTAGCGAGATTGTTTGGTTCATGCTGGATCCTTACTGAACTGCAACCTTTGCGAACAGATGAGTCATGACCTCTCGAAAGGGATCCGTATGTAAAGCCCCGTTCGGGATGTAGCGATGTCTGGTTCGTGAACGAATCGTTCAAATGAGTCGGATCTTTTCAATGAATCGCTTGAACAATTCCCAAACGATTCGGTCACGAAATGACCTAAATCAGTCCGATCAGTTCTCGATGAACCGTGGATGAAGCTAATGTTCGCCGCGGGGCCCCCTCAAGCGCGGGGCCCGGTGCGACCGCACCAGTTGCACCCCCCTAAGGACGGCCTTGTGCATACTAGCATAGTGCTCTTACTGCTTTTACCCTTGCTGCGTCTCAATGTGCCTACTTATACCACGCCCTTAAAGTATGTACTCTTTTGGTGAAGAAGAAGTCCACACGTTTGAGTGTGTAGTAGAAGAGTAGGCAAGCTTTGGGACATACTATCACATCACACAACTGCGTCTTTAACGGACGCTCTGTCGCATAGATACAGGCACCCTGTCACTGTAAACTGGCCTGTCAATCATCTTGTCACTGGTAACATCCTCCACATTGCATTTCATTTAACTTCCTACCATATTGGAGAGAAAAGAAGTAGCACAGTGATCTGCCAGTCGTGGGTCTTTCATGCCCAGAACTCTGCTCATATTTTATGCATAATGATGCATTTAAAAGTTAACGACCAAACGGATGTTTATAAAAGTTTACATTGCTGTTGCAGATGAAATATAACACAGATAACATTAAATAAATATTTTTTACCAGGTTAAATGTTGAATATTAATAACTCAAACCCATTTTTCTAAGCCTCTCTACCTGCCGGTCGCGCACATCCGCCATGTTTGTAGTTTTAACGCGTTTTATTCGGGTTTGTAGTTCTGGACAGAATCCTTCACCAAAGCGCAATGGATTGTGGGCAATATTAGCCATTAGAGTGTGCACAGGATCCACACTTCAAAAATCGACCTGAAATAGAAGACCATCCGGGGACTTTTGGCATACTCTTTTCAACATACTATGCTTTGGGACACACTTATTCTATTCTCACATACTATTTAGGATGGATAGTATGAACATTGAGAGGCAGGGCGTCTTTCCATGGCAAACATAAGCTGTGTCTCATTTAGAAGGCTGCATACGTCATCGAGGCTGTCTCATTTCAGAAAAGCAAGTAGAGAAGAGTAGGCAAGCTTTGGGACATACTATCACATCACACAACTGTGTCTTTAACGGACGCTCTGTCGCATAGATACAGGCACCCTGTCACTGTAAACTGGCCTGTCAATCATCTTGTCACAGTTTACATCCTCCACATTGCATTTCATTTAACTTCCTACCATATTGGAGAGAAAAGAAGTAGCACAGTGATCTGCCAGTCGTGGGTCTTTCATGCCCAGAACTCTGCTCATATTTTATGCATAATGATGCATTTAAAAGTTAACGACCAAACGGATGTTTATAAAAGTTTACATTGCTGTTGCAGATGAAATATAACACAGATAACATTAAATAAATATTTTTTACCAGGTTAAATGTTGAATATTAATAACTCAAACCCATTTTTCTAAGCCTCTCTACCTGCCGGTCGCGCACATCCGCCATGTTTGTAGTTTTAACGCCTGTCCTACGAAGGCCGTCTGGTTTAATTCTAGGTTGAGGACACTTCGTTTATGCATCCTACAGAGGATGCGACCTCCAGAGGGTGCAGCCTTCTAAATGAGACACAGCTATAATAGTAACGGTAGTATGCTAAGTTATACAGTTACGAATTCAGATTCGTTATGAATCAAGATTCGATGACTGAACTGAAGTATATGAAATTGACTGATGGTGCAAAATAAAAGCTGGTTTTAATAAACGCTCACATCCAATTACAGTGAACGCCTTATTAATAAAGCAATAAAACGTAAAAACGCATTATGGAAACGTTGTAAAGCAGGTAAAATGCCACGCCATGATGTCAAGGTTCACGTGATGATGTAATTACGTCGTGTCGTAAAAGATTAAATGAATCATTTTTTGAAACAGTTCTTAGAGACGAACTGTTCTGAAGCCGGGATGGAGCTTGACAGCGGTAGCGGCAGACCCCTCCCCTGGACAAGTTTATGAACGGTTCCCTTTTCCTGTTGCAATCCGATTTAATTATCCTAAAGCAATGTATGTGATACAGACAGATTAAAACTGATAAAATCGCTGAATGTTTAATCACTGGTAAAAAGTGACAAATGAGACGTAAGTTCCCTTTAGTCGATGCAGAAAGGCGCCCGGAACTTTTATACGTCTCAGGCGCCAGCCGGACAGTTGATTGTGCTGCGCATGGAAACGTGCATGGACTACATTGAGGTCTTCTGAGAGGGGCAATCATGTACAGAAGATTGTTAATGAATATTAATCAGGTTCGAAATAGATGCATTCATACGCACAATACACGATTAACTTTACCTTCCACAAAATGTAAAGAGAGGGAGAGTTTCGGCCCTGTTACCTGCTAAGTTACAGATCTAAGAACCTGACAGGGTGACAGCTCTGATGAGATTGAGTTATGTTTATGTCAGTTAAAGTCTCAACCTGGAATTTAAAGATCTCAAATGGCAGAATAAAGTACCACTTGATTAACCTGCAGAATGTTCCATTTGCGTGTTGATTATGTGTTTGCAATGTATATTAAATATACCTTCCAGCCCGTATGTTAATTATTTTAAAATGTTTAACAGAAATTATCCAAATTCGGATGTTTTTGTTTTAAATTATGAATTTGATCTTTTATCTAATTTCTTTATTTTAGGGCCCCATGCACAGCAAGGCCATTAGGAACCAGTAGCATCTATTTTAGTGAAAATAAAGAGAGCTCCACATCCCTGTCAGAAGACAAAGGAAAGACACCAGAAGAGAATGAGGTGAATGCAGAGGTTAACACTGATGGGCAGAGGAACACAGAAATGAATGAGGGCACTGACATTTCAAATGCAACATTGACATCACAGTTAGAGACCGAACCAGAGGTTAAACCTGAGTGCAGCAAACAGCTTGAAAAGACAAAAAGTGGGAAGGAGAGTCTTTTGGAGCTACTTGGGGCAATGAAGGTGGAGGTCACAACCGTACGTAAAATAAGACCCTCAAAGACTCCAAGAATGAGTGAGAGGCCCGACCAAGAGCTCGTGGAAAGCACACACAGCATGTTCCAGCGTGCCGCAGCTGAGGGTTCACAACAGCAGTGAGTTATACATACATACAAGCATAATTAATTCACAAAGTGGTAATGCTGACACTGAAATGCCTACGATAACAGCAATTCCATACATGTTTACACTGAGAGCTAAATCACAATATTCAGATTAAGGAATTAAGAATATTATGATATAATTTTGATTTCTGACTAGCAAACAGTGCATCCATTCTGAAGTGAAAGTAGCAACATTTTTCTGTACTTTAGTGGGACCTTGAATCCAGCGCTGGTTGCTGCGGTCTCTGCTGCCGCATCCACCCTGCCGAACAGACATCAGGCAGAGTTAGAGCTCCTTAAGCAGCTGAGGAAACATGAAGCCATACCTGACACCCAGAGGAGAGGAGAGCAGACTTAGGGTAGGGCTCATTTCAGATGTTGTGTGTATTAAAGTTGGCATGAAACTGAAATCCATTTCCTAAACGCTTCTTATTAAACATATTGTAAACAATACATCTATGTGTAGGTTACATTTTAAAAAATAAACTTGAGCTTGATATTTTTAATCAGAATGTCAAAGTTTGATCTTCCATTGAAACACCAGACTTCTGTTGATGTGTGCCTGACTTCTCCATTCATTTAGTCTGCTTAAACCCCACCCCTTTTATAACAATCGACTACGACTCGCATTCATATCTGCCACCGTTCAGTCAACAACCGATGGATAAAGTCCGAGACCTGCTTTGTGATTTTAATTAGGGATGCACGATATATCGGCCACCATATCGGTATCGGCCCATATCGGCTCATTTTTTCTGTTATCGGTATCGGCCTGATAAGAAAATTTGGCCGATATCTTAAAGCCGATAAATAATGCATTATTTCCTTCAGAGACACTTCAGATGCGCGCTGTTCGTTTGCAGCCTTTTGTGCAATTGTACATTGTAATATTGTGTTTATTTGATGTATATCTGATTTATCTCATATAGAATGCGTTTGGTTAAGTTAAAAGAGCGCTTCAGTTTAACGGTGATCATCTTTAGCTCAGCACACGCAGCTCAAACAGCAGTGCACAACATTAATAACTATGATTGGGAATGTCGTGTATTCTAATGAGAACATTATTATAATAAAACGTTGTGAATTCTTTGGGTTTAGTTGCCGTGTTTCAGCGCGTTGTTATGGGAAGAGCGCATCCACAACAGGATCACACATTCTGACTATAGCATGCAATAACTGCGTCATTTTGTACATATATAAGTTGTAATATTATGTTTATGTTGTATTAATATTAATCTCAGGATGCATTTCCTTGAGTTAAATAAGCTGCCAGCAAAACGCTTCAGTTTACCGTGTTCATTCAGCTCTTCAGCTTCAGCACGCGCAGCTCATCGGCTGCTATTTAAAACAGTGGTATTCATTTGTTACTTTTTCAAAATCATTGATATATTATTAATAACGACAACCACTTGTATTTTTCTCTTATTATTTTCATCAACAATATGGTTTAGTAATTAAAATCATTATTGTCCGTGCAGAGGCTATTCCGTTTTATTGATCTATGGCGCATTCATTTTGATTCTTTACACGTGTAATGATGTCCAGTGACTTGTTTGCATTATTTATGCATAATTTTATTTATTTGTAAGGCTTTTTTATGACTAAATTTGGTAATGGGAGAGTAAAAATATTTTTAAAACGTACACCATTCAAACTAGGCTGCTTATGTTGAAGTGTTTGGGATGTGGCTTTTAATGATGAGACCTTTTTTGTAATCAGGCTCTCAAAAAGTATATAACAATTTGGATATAGATTTATCGGCCAACATATCGGTTATCGGCTTTCAAAAATAAAGAATAATCAGTTATCGGTATCGGCCAAAATTTTCATATCGGTGCATCCCTAATTTTAATTGCATAAAAATGCATGTTGTAAAAGTGATGTTTTATTAGTGAATACAAATATGGACCTTCCTGTGTAAATGTGTAAATAAAGTGTAACATTAGTGCATGTGTTAGAACAATTATGTGGTATCATCTCAAAACTTTCAGACACATAATTGCCGATATGAAAGTCGGAAAGAGGCCGAATGGCAGATCAAACGTCAGACCTACCAGTCAGATTAGTTTTGACGAT